CCCACAAAAAAACAAAAAAAAGCTGGTGCAACTGCTCAGATTTGAGAATAAAAATGCTAACAAATTGCAGCCCACTGTTTTGTACTCTTGTCAGACGCCAGACACTTGTTGGATCAGTTCTGGACTAACAGTCACTGTTGTGAGATTGCAGCAGAACCTCCAGTCTCCTCTTCTCCCCTCTTCCCTCTGGAGTCCTACCTTCCTACCCCAAAAATAGCACTGATGTTTGTACTTGGCACCCCCCTTTGAAAGCTTTGTTTTGTCTTGTTAATATTGAACATTTTATGCAGGTCCTACACAGTGAAACCTTTGGAACTGTACATTTTTTTTTAAAGATAATTGTCATGGGGGAGGGGGGTTTCTGCTAAGGGCTGTACTTGTAATAATTTGGAAATTTAAAAATAAACATTATGTACTTGTGTTTGTAAAATGACTGGTAGAGAATCCTTGTGTGGCATGTGTCTTTGCTTAGTTGGTGGTCCATGATTGCCACAGGGAAGAGTTGAGTGGAGACTCCATACTACAAATAAATGGAGCTAATGTCAAAAGAAGAGTAAGCCACATCATCCATCTTGAGCATTGATGCAATTCTCTGATGCTGTCCTTTTCAGAACTTAATAGTCCAGTCTTACTGCTACCAGCTCTCCAACACGACTGTAATTCAATTTGGGAAATATCTCCCACTATATACATCTCCTTTCCAGGTGCCTAGACCTTTTTTGAGAAGACCTATAATCCAGACTAAAGATGATGGTTCCATGGTTAAGGGGTTACCGTGGGTCACCCAAATTCCAGGCTTAACTCCCTGCTCCCCCAGGGACCTTGGAAAAAGTCAGTCCATCTCTTTGGTCTTCAATTCTGCACTTTCGAATGAGGAAAATTTCACTTACCTGGCTCAGAATAGGTAAATGAACTGAAGAATGGGAAGTGCTTATATACTGTAGAAATGAGGAAGTATGATGGGGCAAATCATACGAAGCTTTGGCCCCAAAAGCTTTCCTCCGAGTGTGCAGTATCATTTGGCTGGTGCTCTGTCAGAGTTTCTTCATGCGTCCTATGGAATCTTGCAATTGGTCTCAGTGGCTTAATTTGAAACATCAGTGAAGACAGGCTGCTTTGCACATCTGAAGAAACATGACTTCTAAATAACCAAGTTAGCCGCTAAAACATCTTGTTCCAAGACATCAGGACACTTCTACAAAGCTCCTCCAGATGTCAAGCAGTTTGAAGTGAGTCTGGGACATGACACATCTTTGAGAGGCTTATCTGTGACTTGGGAGATTCAGATAAACTCATGACTTGAGCCAGGTGCATACTTAGCTTCTGCCATTGCGATAATATTGGAGGTAAGACATTTCTGAACTGGCAAGAAGACTCCTACCTTGTATAAGTGTGCTTTTGTTACTATAGCTTAACTCCGGGAAATCAACATAAGCAGCATTCATTTACTAGTGTAAACTGTACCACCATGAAGGTTTGTCGGAGTTCATTTTTCCAGCAAACCTTTTCTGGTGGAACCTAGGCTGTGGTGGGTTTGTGAATTAAAAGCTACATGCTCAAGTAGTATAAATCTAGCTCTCTTGAAGCTTAAAACCAAACCTGATGGGTGCATCCCCACAAACAGGAACATGATTCCCTGGGAAGAAGTAGCAGCAGTGTACCTTATGTTGCTGCTGCTTGTCCCTGGGGAAACGCCTGTGCCACGCATGCACTGGGGCGCAGCAGGTTACCCCAGGTGAGGTAGGGGAGGCTGGGGCCAGCAAGTGCTGGCCGCAACAGCCTTAGCTGGGGACCTCCGGGAGCTGCAGCCATAGTACTCGTGCAGCTGGGAGCCTGGTCTGTAGCCTGCAGTGTGGCTCCAGGTGGCCAGGCTCTGGTTTTGGGCAATGCATGCTGCCACCACATGTGCCACCCTTCATGGGTTTGTTTGGTTTTTTTGACCCTGGGATCTCCTAGGGTCAAACACCACCCTCCCCCCCCAACACTACAAAGTTGTAGTGTGGGGAATGCCTGCGTGTGCAGTGTGTAGCGCCACAGACAGGACTGCAGCACCACATGCCGGACATCCACACTTGTCGATGCGTCCAATGAGGCAAAGCATAACTGAACGGTGAGGAGTCGGCATTTGATTCCCATGGAATCGAAGGGAAGTAGGGCTGGAAGGGACCTCACAAGGTCATCTGGTCCAACCCCATGCTCAAGGCAGGATCATCCTGGTCTAAGCCATTCTAGACAAGTGTTTGCATAACCTGTTCCTAAACTTTGGGAACAAACTTGCATGTGACTTGTGGGCATACTGCTTGAAATGCCAAACACCACCTTTAGCTTGCTACAGGCAAAGCAGAGTGATGAGTCAGTACTCTTGCCACTAAGGACAGGAAGTTTTTGTTAAAATACACTTAACTTTGCAGTGGTCAGCCTCAATGTGAGGGGGCTGTGGCTTCTCCTGTCTGGAAGATGTCTGCCACGTAGTGGACCCCTGGGAATAAAGGTGATGTGCTCAAGTTCCATCTCCAAAGAAATGCTGGAGTTGTCTTGCTTTTCTCCAGAATCCAGTTTTTGCCTCCCTGAAAATGCAATGGAACCATAGTCAGCGCCAGCCGGTTTCAGACTTTCTCCTTACCCTGTACTGCGCAGCCCTTGCTCTAGGACTTGCTAGGAAATCTTTCCTGCGAAGCTAGTGAGCCATAGGATAATCCATGTTGTCCTTGGCATCATCTATACCTAAAACAACATATGGTTCATTGCATTGGTGAGCTAAAAACATTTTGTGACTGGCTTGCTAGTTCTAGTGGATCTCTTGCTCAAATGAAGTAAAACAGTCCAGTTGTGTTTGCAGAACTTTTCATTTAAAATAAATTGGGTGAACCTGACCCCAAACCACACAGAAAACAGCCCATAATCTGTGCTTAGTTCAGGGCTTTTCTAGGATGGCAGGAGGTTCAAAGAAGGACCTGCAAGTTGCCTGCCTGGAAGGTGAAGCAGCCAGGGCAGAATGTGGGGGGACCGACTCGGGGTGACGCCCAGTGTGGAAACCTCCCTCACTTCACTTCATTTCGCTTCTGTGTGGGGAGAGTGGGGCCTCCGATTTCATATGCAACAAGCTGACAAATGTGTGACACTTTCCAGATCTAGGTGCTTCAGTTGCTGGGGCTTGTTATAACTGACCTAGCTCAAGATGAATGTTTTTATTTATTTACTTGTTTGTTTGTTTATTTTTAAAGAATTGACTCCTTACCAGGGTTATTCAAATGAAACTGGTCAGGAATCTAATTCAGCATCGATGATGGCATTTGGGCATGAGAGGTGGTCGAGTACTAACTGCAATGCTGTTATTTAGTCAGTGTGGAGAGCTTTTTAAGTCTGGTTCTTGACCCTCAACCTTGCTTTGCAGCTGACAATCTAACTATACCAATATTTTTGAAGAA